GTGGGCGACCTGTGCTCCATCGGGGGTAACAGGCGTAAGTAAGTAAGTATACTGCATAACATTAATGACTCGGCTTTCATCACGCGACGTCATAATTCTTCTTCCAACTCCAAAGGCAGAGTTAAAATGGTTTGAATTATTTGTTCTGGTTAGCATTTTGTTGGCAAGTTAGTTTTTGACGGAATGGGGTCGCCAACCACATGTCCAACCCTCCTCTTATATCCGGGCTTGGGACCGGCACTAGCTCCGATGGTTCTACTGGCGGTGTAACTGATAGTGTATTTTATTTCTAGATATTTTACTTTACTGTCGATAAAAACATCACATCTATAAATATTTTTGTGAAAGATGTATATCCCACTGAATTCTTAGATGTTTAATATTGATAATACAATACACAACGAACGGTAACATGTACTTCGTCATTCCCATTCGTGACATACACGTCACTAGTAAAATATACAATTATGATAAGAAGTAATTTACCAACTTCGACGAATACTCAATAAGTTCATTTAAAGAAATTGGTGAACACACCCAATACTGATTGATTGTTTTGGAACATTGGGAAATAAAAGAAGAATAATGTTGCATAGAAATGTTTATATTGTGAAGCATATGAAAGTAAATGAATCATCATCTCAGTGTTCATGGACAAATTGGCTGCAGAATTTTTAATAGCTTGATGATTCATTCAGTCATTTGATAACATCAACATTTATTTCCAATCAACTTTTTCAGTGGATGTGTTTCGCACCGAAATATTTCACAATATATCGTGTATTAATGGCAATTCTTTTGTTTGTATGGATTATATACGATATTGTTAGCGAAACGATGAGACATTTTGATCAATCAGAATATGGATGGATCACGTATGGTACCAATTGGGCATTTCCGCTACTTACCATAACTCATATATCACTAGCTATGTACTGTTTGATTTACAACATAAATTTGAGTATTTTTATTCATGCATTCAAAATACGAATACATCACACATTTAAACAAGTCAGACAGACGGACAGATACAACGCAGAACTTCGTACGTAAGTACATTAGTTCAGGTTGCCATACCACATCATCACAGAGACGCAACCGTTAGTTCGAATCCAAGAGTGATAGCGATAGTAGAAGTATTAGCAGTAATGGAAAAGATTATAGTTCGAAGATATGATTCGAAAAGTATAATTCAGTGAGATAAGTTTAGAAAGACAGAGGTGATGAGAAATTCAGAAGGTTAGAATTAAAAAGCACACAAAGTGTGGATGCACCTGAGCCAAGTCGTTCAAGGTCTCTAAACATTGGTGACTTTCGTCTCGCGTACCCCAACCAGGTAGTCTACATCTACCAACATCACTCAGTCCACTTGTCAGTGACTTCATTGACTTGAGCCATGTTTTGGTTTGGCCACCCCTAGCATTCTCCCAACCTACTCCTACACCACAAAACATAGTTCGCCGAGGTATTCGGTGGTTAGGCATACGTGATACATGTCCCAACTACATCAACTGATGAAGTTTCACTACTTCATCTATTGATTTTTCATCCCTAACTAGAACTCGTTTCCTAACGACAGCATTGCTTATACGGTTGTCCCAGGATACACAAGCAATGCTTCGGAGACAACGATGGTCGAAGACTAGTAACCTACGAAAGTCCTCTACTCTTAACGGCCATGTTTCACAGCCATATAGTAGGCAGGAGCGAACTTCTGCACGGTCCACTCGTCCTTTGGTTAGCAAACGGATATCTCGCCTGCGCCATAGGTGACACAGGTTGGCAAAAGCCAATCGAGCCTTCTGTATCTGAGCTGAAATTTCGTCCGTCACCAGGCCATCAGCACTGATGAGACTCCCAAGATACGTGAAGCGGTCTACACGCTCGACTACTCCACTCCCTATCACTAGTTCCGGTGAAGTCGCAAGCCAATCCTAAAGCAACATTTTGTATTTCGAGGGGGAAAACCGCATCCCGAACATGCTTGCATTGTTGCTCAGGTGGTCAGAAGACTGCATCTTGTTAGCGTCTTCGCCGAATAAAGCTATGTCATCGGCATATTCAAGGCCAGTAAGAGATTTTCCTGGTAGAAGGTCGACTCCTGAAAATTCAGACGAGGATAAGGTTATTTCTAGGAGCATGTCTATGATAAAATTAAACAAGAATGGAAAGAGTGGACATCCCTGACGGACACCACTTGAAGCAAAGAATTCCGGTGACAGTTCGCCATAAGCTCTCACTCGACCACTGGTGTTCGAGTAGAGAGTCTGTATAAGGTTAATGTACTTCTTTGGTACTCCTTTCAATGACAGACACTGCCACAGAACCTCACGATCCACTGAGTCAAATGCCGCCTTAAGGCCCAGGAACACAACTATTGTAGGACGCCTATATGTGTGTCTGTGTTCCAGGACCTGTCCTAGTGTGAAGATATGGTCTATACAACCATGTCCAGGTCGAAAACCAGCCTGGTTTTCTCGAGTTTGCTCTTCAGGAGCTTTCGTTAAGCGTCGAAGTATTACTGAGGCCAATATTTTAGATACTATATTTGTTAGACTTTTTCCCCTGTGATTGTCGCAAGAAGACTTTTGTCCTTTCTTATAGATTGGGACAATCAGTGATTGAGACCAGTCGGAAGGGATTACGTCCAGTTCCCAGATTCTACCTAAGATCTCGGTCAACCTAGTTGCTAAAACTGGACTAACATCCTTAAATATCTCAGGGGTAAGCCTATCAGGACCTACAGCTCGCCCTCGCTTCAGATTTCCTAACGCTTTCTCAACTTCATAAAGACTAAAGGGACTTACGTCGATTTGCCATTCAGGATGACTGGAGATCGTGGGTAACCGAAGTGTGGCTGAAGGCCAGTTGAACTGATCTCTAAAGTGTTCTGCTCATCGGTTGTCTCCTGGATTGAGAATGGATAATAAGACTATCCTTTTCTGAGACAGTCTCACTTACAGTAGGATTCCTAATACCAGTTTCGTTGATAGGTCGGAAAAGTTGTCTACTGTTGCCTATCGCTGCTGCCTTTTCCATCGCTCTCGCTTTCGCCACCCACCACTGTTGGCGGTCGTTGCGTAGGCCGTTTACCAGCCTGCGCTTAAGCTGACTTCGTTCTTCATCAGGGTCACCTAACTGTTTTTCTAGTTGCTCCTGAAATATATTCTCAGATTTATTATCACTAAGTAGAGCCCTAAGAGGTTGCCTTGCGATATTTCTCCTACGTCCAGTAAGCCGAAAACATATGCGCGCTCGCACTAGAGCATGGTCTGAGTCTAAACAAGTGCTTCAGAATGAGCGGCAGTCATCAATAGAGCCTCTCCACCGACGGCTTATAGCGATGTGATCTAGTTGGGTCCATCGTTGGTTCGGCTTTGGGGGTCACCAGGTCAAAAAGTCTTTTTCCTTATGCTTAAAGTTAGTGTTTGCTAGGAATAAGCGGTTATCTGAGCATAGTTGCGGCAGGCGTTCACCACTATCTGTTCGATCAACCACGACACCATAAGATCCACCCAGGTGTCTTTTCTTTTCACCTAGTCTACCTACTTGAGCGTTGGTCACCAGTCATTATTACTATATCAGGGCGCCTAACGTTTTGGAGGAGCTTCGAAAGCTTTCTGTAGAACTCACTTTTTGTCGCGTCTGAACTGCAGTCAGTGGGAGCGTAGGCAGATACGACGAAGAGGCAACAGCGAGTGTCCCTATCCTTCCGAGTCCGTACCATCCCGTTTAGTCGGACAGAACATAAGCGACTGTCTATCGGGATCCAGTATAAGAGAGCTAGTTCTGCCTGACGACTTAATACTAAACCTACGCAGCAGCATCAAGGCTGCAGGATACACGAAGAGTAAACCGTGTTGTGTCTCTATCTGCACTAGGCGAAATCAAATTGGTAAATTTACTCGGATCATGTATGCGCGTTTCCGAAACGCAACATACATCGATCGCCCGGGATTACAGAATTCTAGCTAATGAAGCCTGTTGCCCTATTTGGCATAGGGTTCGAACGTTAAAACCTCCATTATGTAATTTAGTACGGGGTTTCAAGAGACCAGAAATAACTTTACGTGAGCTCAAACCGTTTGTTACAGTGTCGCGAGGTGATAAACGATCGAAGGAAGAGTTAGTCGATCAGATAAGAGAGTTATTAAGAGGTTCAAAAAGGATTTGATTGTGACCGATTCGGTCTCGTGTGCTTCTATTGGTATGAGGGCGGATGTAGCTTTCCGTCTGCCCATACCGTAGAAGGGTTCTGGTTGTCAGAAGGGGCATCGGCCTCATGACTTCCGAAGGAACTCGACTTTCATCATGAGACGTCATAAATCTTCTAAATGAAGACCTAACTCCCAGGGCAGAGTTTATATGGTTTGAGTTATTTGTTCCTGTCAGCGTTTTTTGGCAAGTAAGTTTTTTCCTGGATGGTGTCACCAACCCATCCCAACCCTCCTCCTTTATCCGGGCTTGGGACCGGCAGTGGCCCCGAAGGGTCTACGGGTGGAGTTAATTTAAAGGTACTACACCTATGCAAATCAAAACACTGATTAATTCATTTATATTCTTAATATTGACGCCTGTATTTTCCCGCGACCAAATGAGGTTATAATTTACCTAGCTAATTTTAACTGTTAAGTAATTTTGTAATTGGGATTTACAACAAACAAGTCTCTTAAGAACTTAAACAATAGTTAGGTTTTCGCTGTTATCCACACATCAAGAACTACTTCCGATTGCTTGACTAACTGGATAACAATAGTGTTATATCCCTAACCGTCAATCAATATCACGCGACAAATGCAAGACACTTATCAGAATCACATTTTACTGCCAGAAGTCTTGAGTCACCACGAAACCTTTAATGATCAACGATGGATACTGAATATCTTACAACTACTTTACATATAATACCTAGTATATACAAGACAATATCACGCATAAAAAGGTACTGCTAATAAAAGGAGATCAACCTATGTCTTGCAATGAAAGAAAGATTTTACAGCTACTGTATATACAGATATATTTTTAGGTTGTATCCATTTTTACAGAAACTTCTTCATGTACAGATTTCGACGACTGTGTAAGCGTAAAATCATCTGTGTTTGAAGATAACAGGTCATCATCTACAAAAGTTAAAGATTATATTGAACAACAGTTTATTTTAAGTAAAACCTACCCTCAACAATTTTTTGTAAACCCTTCAGGGCGACCAAAAACAAATGGAATTGAGTTTTTCTAAGCTGAATTTTTCGGTCGTACTCTTGATTTAAATTCTCCAACCGTTCTAAAGTGGCTTTTAATTTTTTGTACTTTCTGTAAACAAAGAAAGAAAATTGTTTCCTAACTATGTAATATATTCAAAATACAAAAAGCTGTTTAAATTAACTGACAAATATACATATCGACTGTTTTCCTGACAGATTTGAAGTAGGATTGATTTATGTATTTACTAAAACAATGAATTATTACTAACAAAACAAGGCTAAAAATATGCAGATATATTTGTATATCAGATATCAAACATATTTGATGTCTTAGAAACGGAAAGCGTATAATTTATTTAAACCGTAGATAAATTACTCTGACCTCATGGATGGCTTGGAAGAGAGTGACAGAAAATCACAACTTTTACTTTCGCAATCATTTACTTCCATATTAATATTATTTATTTACCAAATACTAAATTAACTTAATAAAACGTATTAGCATTGGTACAAATGGGGCACCTAAATATTTGTCACACAAGTTAATGAATTTGTGAGCTGGGATGCTGCCCGGACGCCCTAATCGAAACAGGTGATCCTCTCAGGAGCCACATCCCGAGCGTTAGACCGAAAAATTTAATTCACAAGGCAATAGAGCAACGTTAGGAGATGCAGTCCCATGGAAATAGGTTCGTACATTATTTGTTACGTCATGATCCTGGAGCTAATGTGTACCATTGGTTTGGAACTAGGATTTCGCAACTCCCCTTGGTGGATCCTCCATACACAAAAATCTGGTAAAAGCACCGGATACTCGCTTTCCATCCCCTCAATTTTGCAAGCAACATCCTCGTCACGAGAAGGCAATAAGTAAGACATCCTGGCATATCCATACGAGAGCATTAAGGGAGAGAGAGGACTCGACACTCTCGGCCATATTAGAACACTTGGGAGCCAAGTACATATCTGCGTGCATATTTATTTATTCGGCTTTGAGATACACTTGTAAGACAAATATGCCGTTCGCGATGCCTATTTTAGGTCGCAATTTTTCAACTTTTTTCAGGAATAATACATGATATCTCGGAATAGAATAATTTAAACTGACAAATAGCTACAGTCTACAACTTGGAATCATATTAACTCAAAATGTGTCTGTTAATATGAATAAGAATGAACAGGAAATAACCGCCTGCTAAGAGTTTACAAAAGACAAGTGCCTTAAAACTCTTATGATCGATAATTCAACATACCAGACAAAACAGATAGTAAAATAAAGCAGCGTTAATTTCATGGCGTTAACAATGGAAAATGGAGTGAGAAATATCTACCTATTGTACTGATAGTAAAAAAAAACAAAAAACATCCCATAATAAAGAAACTTACTCAAGTGTTTTATCTCTTTCAGGATGATCGCAGAGAACTTTGGCAAGACTGTCATACTCTGTCAAAATAAGCTCAATACTAACTCAATTACCTCGTCTATTTTTTCTGACAGTTTTTGCGGACCTCAGATCTTCTTTACATTGTTGAATGCGATTTTTTGCGTTCTCAATGGCCGTCTCTATGAGGATAATTTTTGTAGATGCAACATACCAATCTCTTTATACAAATCCTCATACTGTTTTTGTTGTTCGTAGTTCATAGCTATTACTAAAGATGATTGCTCCATAGCATTCTCACATTGATAAACACTGGCTATGAGCGCTTGATAGGCTTCGTAACTGTTCCAAATAAATATTTCAGAAATCACTTACCCATCCTCACCAACATCATCGGAGGCTACCCACCGGAGATAATTCTTAAGCAACAGGGTAATTCTGCGGTCGTCATTTCCACTTTCTCCTTCAATCAAAAGCCTTCTCTTTATGATTTCGTCTATAAACGAGTTGTAGACCATATTAATATACTACGTAGTCAAACCATCTGTTACTGAGGACATCGGAAGACATTCAAAACTCTTATGGACTAAGTAGGATTCACGTTTACTGTACAAACTAATATTGTAGCTTTATTATTCTACGTGAACACAAGAAGAAAATTCGTACATAAATTGGAAAAAAGCAGAACGTAGCAAAAAAAATAATCAAACTCAGCACAATGTAATACCAAATAAAAGGCTAAGACTGAATGTCCCTTATCGACTACAAGTTAATATGAGGCGGTAACCGGAATACATATATTATCACACGCATGAAAGAACTCATCAAAACAGATTAAATTCCGATATTAAAAGGGTAAGTCAGTCATCCAAAATACCAATCTGATTAAGGACCTTAATGAATAATGAACATTGGTGCATGAACTATTGGGATATTCATTACGATATTCATTACTCAAAACAACCCACCTTCAAACCCAACCGCGCTGTCTACTGAGCGACCTTGACTGGCTTAACTGATGACGGTCATTCTGAATTCAACTACTAAAGGTTGGTTTGCTTGGTTTTCTGGCTTTCGAAGACACACATTATCTGTTGATACCTGAAAATTACCAAAGTCGTTGCTAATATTACTAACTGCATTTTATTTTAGTTTAAATTTCATCTTGGTTTCTGCTGTATAACTATAGATAAGCTAGTTTCTTTGGAGAGCCTATAATAGCCAGGGTGGTGCATAATATGGATGAGAATAACCACACATTATTATGGAGTTTGGTAAACGACTTAACAAAACTTAATGGAAGCGGGAGAGATGTCAGGTATTCTGGAAGTTTGGAACTGTCGTCCTCCTCTGCATATTCATAGTACCCCCTACACAGCAGCGAATAAACTAGCTTATCAGGAACCACTTGTTAGTCTGATTTTTCACCAGTACAGTACCCGTAAATCAAAATAATCCGCTGAACCTACTGTTACGCCTGAGTATAAATTAAACTCTAATATCGTTAAAATGTTTCATGAAAAACATCATTATAAGATGGATGACATCATAAATAAATGCACATGACAACTTGCTGAAGTAGAATCTCAGTACAAAGTCTTTCATTTTTTAGGTGACGAGACGATATCATGTTTACCTCTCGTGACAAGCGATATTTAATATTTGTTCAGTAGCTGAGTGGTTTTTTAGTTAACAGTCTAGGTATACGTCGGCATGGAGTTGTTTAACAGTCATATTTCGAAATGAACTTACATTCTCTAAAGTTAACGAGGCGCAAAAGTAGTTATTACGCAGTTCTATGATACGTTGGTTGTTTTAAATAAATACGCTCACTCCTTTCACTTTAGAGAATGTAAGATTTTATAAAGTGCAGAAAAATCTTTATTTAGCTCGAAAGCACGCCTTTCCCGTGCAATTGTCTTTTTAGTGCGTCGTATCCCTGCTTCGTCACTAATGAGGAGAAGTGACTGAGCTGATGAAGTCTGGAAGCATATCTTCGAAGACGTTAGTGTATTTGATCAGGTATATGTTAGTCTTTAGAAATTCTGGGACTCCAGTATCCTAAGAATGACATCTTAATGAAGCTACCAATAGTGGTGTGATAAAGCACATCTGTTAGTTCTTCGGTATTGTTTACGGTAAGGAATTTAGTCCAGTCAATGCTTCAGAGGAGATTTCATAAGTATCCTCAAACAGTCTTATTATAGTCCCTACGAAGTGCAGTGGATTTACGTTTTTTAGTTATGGCTTCTACATCAAGACTGCATTTAACAATATTGTGATCGGTACCTGGGAACTTTTTTCCAACATTTACAGTATTAGAAATAAGGTTGCTTGTGAAGGCCGGTTGGGCCATAAACAAGAGATTTTAGGAATGTTGAAGTCCCCGCAAATAGCCTTGCCTGTAAACGTTAGGGATCTACAAACGTTAATACATTGCTTGATCCCTTGTTGGTGCGTCAAGCTGATGATAAACACAGCCGAAGAGTAAGGAAAGTGCGTTTGTGGGTTTCAGAAAGATCTTTTCCGAATGTTTTAGTTTGTTTAGTTCCGTCATTACACATAAAAGCGAGTTTAGGTTAGAGTAGGAATGCCTAAGGCATCTCCTACCTCGTCATCGTAACTTATCACTTTGAAATAAATCGCCGTTTTCAAGCGATATACTTAGATCAGAAATATTACTGGTGTTCCATGCCCCAGCTATCATTATAATTGATGGCTGGTAAAGAGTCGCAAACATGGTTAAATCTGTCCTTTTATTACAGATCAAACAGGCATTGATAAGATATATGATGAACATATGTCCCGCTAAACCAACATAATTCATAGTATCTTCAGTAAAGGAGTTACCAGGACCTACATGGGTGTGAAATGAGTTTAATGTCAGCAAGTAGTCGTTCGACTTCGCGTTTTGTTGGAAACGAGGGTTAGGAGGTAACATCTGAAATAAATTACTGAAACTTCCAAAAGGAGGTGTTAGCTCAAGGGGAAGTGTAAGAAAGTTGACTGTTTGAGACTGTGTAGGGGAGAGTGATTTTTTACTCTGCATGTGGTGTGAACTGGCTCGCTCTAGTGTTTGTGACGTTAGGTACCTAGGACTCACTTGGAAAAGTCCTAACTTTGTAATTTTATCCTGAATTTTATGTTTTTGCTCCAAAGGCGCCTAGTTAACCTTCAGCTTGCATTTCCCACTAGGGAAATCCTTAAACGTCATTGGTTGATGGATTATTTAAGTACGCTATTTTCTGGCTTTCTTAAAGGCGTTTATTCATTGTAAAAATAAGCCTAAGGTGTGTGCCTGTTGACTTCATGCTTTATGAGTGCCTGTGAAATGCATTTCCTACTTCTTATCGAGACTTCTTTCTCTAGGTATTGAGTCCTGGAACGATCGGATTGGAGTGGCCTATCGTGTCAGTGAATCATTGATCTTCGGTCGAGTAATTTGAACCCATAATAGCTGAAGTTTATCACCTAGACATGTTTCTTCAGATAAATTCGGGTTCTTTCGGGTCCTCTTGTGTGATATATTTGAGGGACCTAGTCTATAATTGATTGACTGTAACTGGATTTATGGTGTTTTGTAGCACATATTCGATCAAGGATATGTTATAACAGCCTGGATTAGAAGTAATATAAATATATATGATCACCTACTGATCTAAAAATTGAAAACTTGCGTAACATATTTTATCCCGAATTAAGGAAAAATCGTGTGGCGATCTTTGTATTTGGACTAGAAGTCGGCTTCTCTTAATATCTGTGGTGATTTCTGCACCGAATTTAATAGGAATGTTTCCCAAAAGTAAGTTGGTGGTTTTGTTTTGTGCTAACATAGTACAATCCATTTTCGATGTTCCTGGAATAAACCTGTTGATCTGTACAGTGTTTTCTGTTCGTTTAATGCCCAACTGAACGTTCGAAGGTTGGTGCCATCCAAACTCTGAATAGTGAGCGGAATATAATGTTCTAATTCTCAACCTGGTTGAACACTGAAAGATTTAGATGTTAGTTTGTTTGTTTCAAGGACATATCCAATTAGATCACAATATTCAGGGAAAAATGAACACACTATTGAAACCAAACATTGAGAATGACATTTCAGGCACAAGTTCCTTAACTATCAATCAGTGATGGATAAAGCATGAACAATTAGAGTAGCAGAATGACATCAGTTCATTTTGTTTCGCAGTTTGTCGTATTAAGCATTTAAAACCGAAGTACATACTTAGTATCGAAATGTAGGGAAAGTCCTTGCCAGTGGGGTTTATTAAAAAGTAGTGCGGTCAGTAAAATCGCACGTATCGGAGATGTGTTGGAGAATGGAAAAAAATTCACATTTCTGGGCAGCATCACTGATGATAGTGCTGGATCTCACGCAGATGAGAAAGTTCAAATTGGGCAACAGCAGCTGTAAACCAAAAGCAAAGTCAACATTTTGACTACAGGTGTCAAGACAGTTCCACTTTATGGGGAGGAAACTTAGAGAGCTACGAAAGCCATCATCAGTAAGATACAAGCCATTGATACATGATTGGGGGAGGTTAAGCAGCAAGTTTGTGTGATCAGTCGTATGGGCCGTAAAGTGCATTCTTTTCAGTCGGCTACAGTTGAACGGTATTGATTACCCTAATCTGTAACCTGTCTATTTCTAGCAAAGATTATACAGAAATGTAGTCAAGCAGACGAATTCAGTGATACTTTGGAGAAGAGTAGAAAATAAAATGCAGCTCTGGATTCGATATAGTTTAGACTTTTAGAGAGCTATTAATTTGAAAACAGGGTGTGAGCGAGTTCACATAGGCAAACGAATTAGTGCGATCGAGAGCTTCATCAAGGAGCTTTAAAAACGCGTGTAGTCTGTCTGCTATGATTATTTTTGAGGAAAGGTTGTCCCATATCAGTGCACACCTAATAATGAAATTGATTTCTTTACTTTTGGTTAGTTTTTTTAGGCTCGATTGTAGATTTTTTATCTTGAAGGCTGCGTATAGATGGGCCTTGGATTAGAACTACACTACGCCAGCATTATGTGATTTTGAGTAGGAGCTTGGAGCTAAGGATTATATTAACCTTAAGTCTTCTTTTCCAGAGTGGTTCACATTCAAGTTCATTAGCTTTATATATCATTTTTAGGTCATCGGCATAGAGGTGGGTTTTGCCAATGTTATAGCAACTTCATATGCTATGAAAAACAGTGGATCTAAGACAATGCCCTGAAGAACATCACCAGTTACCAGTTGAAGTGTAGATGTTGTGCAGTTAATTTTGGTAGTTTGGTATCAATTTGTGAGTATATACCCAATTCAATGGAATAGAACGTTAGTTATCACGACGAAGTGTGTTGATTAAGAGATTATGAGCTACCTTATCGAAAGCCTTTTTTCTATCAAAATACAATGAGATCATTGGCTGGTTTTGATCGCGTATGTTGGCAACTTCAGGAAAAAATCTTTCAGACACGTAGTGCGTGACCTACATCTAGTGAAACCATGTTATGAGGAGTCGGTGGGACCTTCGCTGAGTAAATGATCAGATAGTTGTTCGTTTACCACTTTCTCTATTACCTGTGAGAAATATGGGGTGATATTAATTGGTTTGTAGTTTTGGATTGTGTTTTTTGGCTCTAGTTTGTGTTTAAGGACAGAATAGTTGACTTCAGGCTTTAGGGAATGTACCAGCTTCTAGGGATAATGTAAATATTTTGAGAAATAGCTCCAGTATATTTGGTCCTGAGATTTCAAAGAGTTCGGATGATGTTTCATCCATTATGTTTTAAGGGTTTTAATGGCGCTAGGATAAAAAGTTGATGGTTCCGAGATTATAAGGTTTGACCTTTCCCGACAAATTCACTAACGATCTCGGCAAATCGCCAAAGGAACATATTGTGCACCTTCCTTATTTGTACTCTACTATTAAAAATGTGGCTGTATTATACTGTTTCTATCGGTGACACGGTGTAAATATGCTATCAGAAACTGACTCTTATACTTAATTTAACTGCTATAACTTTT